TAAAAAAAAAAAAAAATTTTTTTTTTTTTTTTTGAGACAAGGTCTCCTCCCTAAGCAGTTCAGGCTTGCCTTGAACTCATGATCCTCCTGACTCTGTCTCCCAAGTACTGAGAATACAGATGTGGGCCACCATGTTGAGGCAACAATTTTTGTAAAAATCAAAAAAATGTCCAGAAGTTAAGTTTCAGAATAATCTAGTATCATTAGACTATAAAAATAGTGAGAAGTAGTGATAAGTGTATTGAGAGCACCCAGGGTACGCAACTTCCATAATTTACAAAATATATTTCATACAACATTTAACAGTAATATATCTGCTAAAATGTATAGAAAAATAACTATTAAAATTCCTAAAGTGCTAAAGTAATTTACATGATATCTTTACTACTGCTGTATTTTCAATATAGATGACTCCTGTCTTATCAATCACTCAATGAAGTATGAGTATTAAAAGGAAGAAAATAATCAGTAAGACTTAGGTTTGAAACCACCTCCAAACCACTTGTTACTCGGCTTCAGTTAAGTAACCTGTTGGATGTTTACCTAATGATTTGGAAGATTCAAAGATAAACATTTCTGATTTTCAAATGTCCACAACTTTTAAGAGATAACGTGGGGCTGGAGGTATGGCTAAAGGAGTAGATTGCCTGCCTAGCTGCTTATTAAGTTCAAACCCCAGTCCTGAAAATAAAAAGATAGATAATGTGTTCCAAATGTTGAATGCTGCTATATATAATACATTCACAATAAGGGTGATTTCTATTATTGATGACAGCTAACCACAGGAGCTCAGAGCTGTTTCACATTATGCTTGAAAGAATTCTGTTTACATTCACTAATTTTAAGTTCTCTATAAAAGAAAAAATCAAGTGGATAGTATCAAGAAAAATCTTCTCCCTAAAATTAGTAATTTTGATTGCTACTTGGCCTGGGAACATGAATTCAAGTAGTAGAGTGCCTGCCTAGCAAGTGCAAGGCTCTGAGTTCAAACCCTAATACCACCAATAAAACAAAAACACCCAAAGACAAATAGCAACAATATTATTCTCAAACTTTGTAGTTTGAGACAAAATTTGGTTTCTATTGATAGAGACATAATTTTCACAGGGATAAATGGTGGAGAAATCTAAGAAAACATTTAAATCAGTACAGCGTGGTGACGTATGCCTGTTGAGGCCAGCCTAGGCCTGGAAGGAAGGAAAGCAGTAAGAAAACATTTAAATCCCATGAAATTAAAAATTTTTTAGCACAGAGTAAAAGCAAATAAGTTACTCAAAAGTTTAACTGATAACTATAGCTTAGAAAAAAGTTTTTAATACTTTTGTCTTTTATTTACTTACATTGTAATCCAATGTGTATCATAACTGCTCCCAAACTGCTGAAAAGTACCGAATAGTTTGGGAAGAAGACGAAGTGAAATAACTACTGATCTGAAACAAGAAACAGGCTCTTACTGAATAAAATTATTACTAGCAGTTACTCTAGCTTTTTATAGAAATTCTGATATCTAAATTTTAAATGCAAAAGGATTTATTAAGCTACATATATTTAGCACAAACATCTGTATTTTTGTAAAGTACGCATTCATTTTACATGTGCTAGACAAAAAATACAAGTTTACTGTCTTTGGAAGACTTTTAAAAATAAATTGCATGATAAACATCTGGGTATAAATGCAAGGAAAGAATATTAAAAGGTTTTTTTTTTTTCATGAAAATATTCTTTACCTAGTTTTTGTTACCATTTTACCCCAATTATCACATACTATGGTTTATATTCAAGTTGAGAATCACTGTTTTATGAACCATGCTAATAATGGAAATATACCACGTTTCAAGCATGAAATAAACCTCAAGAAGTCAGCTACCAGAGGCTCATGCCTGCTGCTTGGGAAGCTGAGAATGGGAGGCTCCAGGCTAGCTGAGACAAATAGTTCATGAGACCCCATCTCCAAAATAACCAAAGTAAAATGGACTGAAGTTGTGGCTCAAGTGGTAGGGTGCCTGCTTTGCAAGCACAAAGCCGAATTCAAAGCCCAGTCCCACCCACCCACCAAAAAAATACAACTAGAACAGTAACACTAACTTAAGACTCAAGAAAAATGCTTTTATGCTAAACTTCCTGAGTTTGTTTTGCTCCATTCTAGTTTTTGTAACCAAAAGCTTTTTTACTAGAAAACAGTATAGTGTTCCTATAAAAAAAAATACTAATACAGTTTCATGTGGCCTTAATTGAACAGAGGTCTATTAATATTCTTTAATAGAACTGGTGGTCTTTACAGATGCACCAAAAACAAAAAAAAAAAGACTCTGTACATACTAATAGTGTAACATGACATGACATATCTGTCTCCTTAAACACATTTACTTATGGTTAACGCTTTCAATATACTTTCTTCTAGGTTTTGAAATATACCATTACTATCACTGTTATCAATAATTACGCTATTGTGCAATACCACACCAGAATATCTTGCCTTTATTTAACTGTAACTTAATACCCATTAATCTACATTTCCCCATCCCTCCTTTCCCCCCTCTTAACCCCAAAGCCTCTGGAAATCACTGTTCTAACTCTTAATTTCTATGAGATCAACTTCTATGAGATTCCATATGAATGAGATAATGCAGGCTTATTTCATTTAACATGATGATCTCCAGATTCATCCATGTAGTCAAACAAGATAGGATTTCATTCTTTTATGTAGAGTAGCATTCCTTTGTAAGTATCACATTTTCTTCATCCATTAATAACACTTAAGGTTGTTACCATCTCTTAGTCACTTAAGTAATTCAATGAACATGGAAGTATAGTAGATACCTCTTCAACATAAGAAATTCATTTTCTTTGGATTTATACTCAGTAGTGGAATTACTGGATCATATGGTAGGGTAGCTCTATTTTTAACTTTTTGCAGAAACTCCATACTGTTCTTTATAATGACTGCACTAATTTACATCACCACTAACAGTGTTTAAGGGTTCCCTTTTATCCATAGGCTGGCCAGCACTTAATAACTTGAATCTTTTTTGATAGCAGCTTTTCATACTGGAGTGAGGTGATACCTTATTGTGGCTTTGATATGCATTCCTCAGATGATTTAGTATTTTTCATGTATCTGTTATTCATTTACAATCATTTACTTTTTAATTAGGTTGTTCTGTTGCTATTCAATTTTTTTTAGTTCCTTATATTTTCTGGACTAATCAATCCCTCGTTAGATATATAGTATGTGAACAGTTTCTCCCGTTCCATAATTTTTTTTTTTTCCGAGACAGGATCTCCATAGATAGCTCAGGGTAGCCTCAAACTTGGGATCCACCTGCCTCAGCTTCCTGAGTGCTGAGATTACAAGCATGTGCCATTCTATAGAAGATATATAACCACTTTATTGAGTGAAGGAGTGACATGAGAGCTGTACATAGTTTATATCCTCAATTTCGTAAGTTAGTAACCTTTTATACCCTATAGAAGTTAAGACATAAAAGATCCACCCATATGGAAAAACAATGCTATTTCCAAAATGTTTATGTTTAGCATAAGTTTAAATCACTTTTTAATTTACCTTCCTTTATATAACATGAGATAGTTCAATAACATATAACTGCAATTAAAAAAAAAGTAATCAGTACTGTGTTCTCAAAAATCAAGAAAAGAATAAGTATTATCAGTCATTTTTTTTTACTATAAGAGAGGATCTAACTAAGGGTGCTGAAAAGTGCTGGAAAAAACCACCATTGAAGGAGAAAATGTTGATACTGTGAGGGAATAGTCTCTAAACAATATAAAAACCACAAATACTAAAAATAGATTGATGTGGGCACACTAAATACTATGAAAACAGCACACCTATCCAATAAAAAGGCACAAAAAGAACTTCTGACTGCTGTAAACATTTTTAAAAATTCTTTACCTGTTGTTTCCTAAATTTTCAAGGCAACCTTCGATGAATCTCATCCGAATCTGTCTGTCCGTAAACCAACATACTAAGGAACAGAGAAGTTTCTCTGCTTCATTTATTAATCCTTCAGAAAGATTAACCTGTTTTAAAAAAATGTATTTGCACAAAGTTAAATTTATCTTGATTGCATTTTGCTAAAATTATGCACTTTTGACTTTATTAAATAACTTACTGCATCATCATCTTGCACTATATCCCACAACAAAGTGTTTCCTTTCTTGCAAACATTATCCAAGTTAATGTCTGTCACAGCATTACTGTTGAATTGATGTTTATGAACCGCAGGTCCTGATGGGGCAAAACGTGAAATACTATAGTGGAATGCAGATGAATGAAACTGGGAATTACAGCACTCATAAAATTAACAAATCCAAAGAAAATTTTAGACCATGAAAATTCAACATTAGCACAATTACTTCATTTATGAATGGAAACAAAGAAACTGTTGACAATTAAGGTTAGAATGAAATAAGTTTTATTTCCTTTATAATAAATATGATTAATATTTTTCACATATCAAAAGAACTGTAAACACTTGAAACACAAATTAAGCATAAAGAAGAAAACTTCTTTAAAATAATTCCCAAACCAATGTACATTTCTCTAGATATTCTCCTATACAGTTTCTTATAACCCCTATAGGGGGGAAAAAAAAAAGCAAACAATTTTTGTTGGATAATTTGCTCAAAATATTCAATTAAACAATTACATTACATACCGCTAAATAATCATTAGTTATATTAAGCAGAAGCAAAGCACAGTTTTGTTTTTAAACAGCTTTACAATGAAATTTAATGACTGCATGGCATTAATGGTGACCATGACCCAGGTTTTTTTTTTTTTTTGGGGGGGGG